AAGAGACAGAGGAAAGGAAAAATGAATGAAAGAGAAGTGTGATAGAATTATCGAAGAAAGAAAGGGCAGGAAAGGACCTTGTAGTGGGTTGAATGGTGGGCACACCAAAAATAGGTCCACATCAAAGCCCTGGAACCTATGAATGATTCCATTTCTAGCTTTCTAGAGTTGCCAGAACAAAGTACCACAAACTGGGTGGCTTGAAACCACAAAAATTTATTCTTCCACAGTTGAGGCCAAAATTCTGGTATCAAGATGTTAGCAGGGTTGATTACTTCTGGGGGCTTTGAAGGAAAAATCTGTTATATGTCTACCTCCCAGCTTCTGGTGGCTGTGTCCAAGGCAGAATCCTTGGCATTCCTCAGCTTGTGGACACATCACTCCAATCTTCTGCTTCCATCTTCATATAACTTTCTCCTCCTCGTGTCTCTTTTGTGTGTTACCACATGTCCTTTTTTTTTTTTAAGATTTTATTCATTTATTATGAGAGAAACAGGGAGAGAGGGAGAGAGAGGGAGAGATATAGGCAGAGGGAGAAGCAGGCTCCATGCAGGAAACCCAACGCGGGACTCGATCCTGGGTCTCCAGGATCAGGCCCTGGGCTGAAGGCAGGTGCCAAACCGCTGAGCCACCCGGGCTGCCCAGCCACATGTCCTTCTAATAAGGACACTGGTCGCTGGATTTGGGACCCATCTTAACCCAGTATGACTTCCATTTATTACATCTGCAAGACTCAATTTCAAAAACGATCACATTCAGAGGATCCAGGTGCACATAAATATTTGGGGGGACATATTCAACAGAGTTGAGTCACCTAGTTTGGGAAAAGGATATTTGCAGGTGTAATTAAGGATCTTAAAATGAGATCATTCTGGATTATCTGGGTGGGCCCTAAATCCAATGACAAATGTCTTTATAGGAGACACACAGAAGAGAAGACACGGACAGAAGACAGGAGCCAATATGAAGACAGATGCAGAGACTGGAGTGATGTGGCTATTAGCCAGACACACAGAGGAGAAGATGATGTGAAGATGAGGGGCAGAGATTGGAGTGATGTGGCCATAAGGCAAGAAAGCCAAATTATGCCAACAACCACCAGAAGCTGGAAGAAGCAGGCAAAGATTCTCTCTCTAGAGTCTCCAGAGGAAATATGGCCTTGCCAGCACCTTAACTTTGGGCTTTTGGTTTACAGAGATACAATAAACCAGATTTGCCAATTTTAAGGCATCTAATTTTAGGTATTTGTTAGGGAAGCCATGGGAAACTAATAGAGGTCTTACAGTAAGGATAGAAATCGCAGCACACTGTATTTCCCTTTAAGTACCAGTGAAACAAAAAACCTTTCCATGAGTTTCCTTGCAAACAGCCATAAAATTAAACTGGCTCAATTCTCTGTAAGTATAACGTTTAATGATTTTTTTTTAAATACAAGAGCATACCTTCAGTGACTGAAACATAGGAATCTTTAACCTACTAAGAAATTATTCTAAGAAAATAATTGTGTTGTAAATGATCTTTCATCTCCACTTATCTGGTGACTGCTTGATAATTAACATCAGATTTTATCACATCTCGTGTGCTCTCTTTTCTATTTTCAGCTTAAGTTGTTTAATGTCATGTGTCTTCCTATTAAGTTCTTTTTATCTTGAGTTTGACTTCTTGTCATTCTGCCTAATATATAATTAGATGACACTCCATACTGTGTGACCTCAACTGGTAGCATAACTGCAAAAACTGCCTTAGTTTTTGGATAGCAAGTCATGTCATCAAGATAAAGCTAAATAAGTAGAGGAAATTACCAAATGAGTCTCTTTCAATCTCTGAATATTCAAATTCAAAATTACAGTCTGGCATCACTGAACAATCCTAGAAGTCTCTTCCAAACCTGAGGTTCCATAGTTACCCATTTAAGTCATAGACGCCACACTGCTTCAAAATGTCAGATAGTATTTTATTTGCTCATGTGTTTCAGAGCATACTGGAGAGAAGTTGAAGCTCCTGCTGGGTCTAGGAGGGAAAAGTCCATTCAGAAACCATCAGTGTCTTCCTAATTTCTTTCAGAAGTGTTCTATAGTTTTTAGGGTATAGATCCTTTACCTTTTTGGTTAGGTTTATTCCTAGGTATCTTATGCTTTTGGGTGCAATTGTGAATGGGATTGACTCCTTAATTTCTCTTTCTTCAGTCTCATTGTTAGTGTATAGAAATGCCACTGATTTCTGGGCATTGATTTTGTATCCTGCCATGCTACCAAATTGCTGTATGAGTTCTAGCAATCTTGGGGTGGAGGCTTTGAGGAAGACACAAAGAGATGGAAAAATATTCCGTGCTCATGGATTGGCAGAATTAATATTGTGAAAATGTCAATGTTACCCAGGGCAATTTACACGTTTAATGCAATCCCTATCAAAATACCATGGACTTTCTTCAGAGAGTTGGAACAAATTATTTTAAGATTTGTGTGGAATCAGAAAAGACCCTGAATAGCCAGGGGAATTTTAAAAAAGAAAACCATATCTGGGGGCATCACAATGCCAGATTTCAGGTTGTACTACAAAGCTGTGGTCATCAAGACAGTGTGGTACTGGCACAAAAACAGACACACAGATCAATGGAACAGAATAGAGAACCCAGAAGTGGACCCTGAACTTTATGGTCAACTAATATTCGATAAAGGAGGAAAGACGATCCACTGGAAGAAAGAAAGTCTCTTCAATAAATGGTGCTGGGAAAATTGGACATCCACATGCAGAAGAATGAAACTAGACCACTCTCTTACACCATACACAAAGATAAACTCAAAATAGATGAAAGATCTAAATGTGAGACAAGATTCCATCAAAATCCTAGAGGAGAACACAGGCAACATCCTTTTTGAACTCGGCCACAGTAACTTCTTGCAAGATACATCCACGAAGGCAAAAGAAACAAAAGCAAAAATGAACTATTGGGACTTCATCAAGATAAGAAGCTTTTGCACAGCAAAGGATACAGTCAACAAAACTAAAAGCCAACCTACAGAATGGGAGAAGATATTTGCAAATGACCTATCAGATAAAGGGCTAGTTTCCAAGATCTATAAAGAACTTATTAAACTCAACACCAAAGAAACAAACAATCCAATCATGAAATGGGCAAAAGACATGAAGAGAAATCTCACAGAGCAAGACATAGACATGGCCAACATGCACATGAGAAAATGCTCCGCATCACTTGCCATCAGGGAAATACAAATCCAAACCACAATGAGATACCACCTCACACCAGTGAGAATGGGGAAAATTAACAAGGCAGGAAACCGCAAATGTTGGAGAGGATGCGGAGAAAAGGGAACCCTCTTACACTGTTGGTGGGAATGTGAACTGGTGCAGCCCCTCTGGAAAACTGTGTGGAGGTTCCTCAAAGAGTTAAAAATAGACCTGCCCTACGACCCAGCAATTGCACTGTTAGGGATTTACCCCAAAGATTCAGATGCAGTGAAACGCCGGGACACCTGCACCCCGATGTTTCTAGCAGCCATGTCCACAATAGCCAAACTGTGGAGGGAGCCTCGGTGCCCATCGAAAGATGAATGGATAAAGAAGATGTGGTTTATGTATACAATGGAATATTCCTCAGCCATTAGAAACGACAAATACCCACCATTTGCTTCAACGTGGATGGAACTGGAGGGTGTTATGCTGAGTGAAGTAAGTCAATTGGAGGACAAACATTATATGTTCTCATTCATATGGGGAATATAAATAATAGTGAAAGGGAATAGAGAGGAAGGGAGAAGAAATGGGTGGGAAATATCAGAAAGGGAGACAGAACATAAAGACTCCTAACTCTGGGAAATGAACTAGGGGTGGTGGAGGGGGAGGAGGGCGGGGGGTGGGGGTGACTGGGTGGCGGGCACTGAGCGGGGCACTTGACGGGATGAGCACTGGGTGTTATTCTGTATGTTGGTAAACTGAACACCAATAAAAAATAAATTATTATATAAAAAAAAAGAAACGATCAGTGTCACTGGTTGCCAGAAAACACCTCAGGGAGAAACTGGGGGACGCAGAGACTCCAGGAGGGCCAATGGACGGCGGCGCTCCCCTCTCTTCAGTTCATCATTTCTGCCTTGCGGTCCCCGGCCCCTTCCCACAGGTGTCCTCTGCTTGGGTGGGCGGGCCCCGAGGGTCAAGCGAGAGTGCCCTGGCGCATCCTCCAGACGGCCCTGCTCATCCTTAGCCTCGCTGGGAGGGCGCTTGAGCACCCACCACTGCCCCCAAGGAAAGCCCGGTCCCCGGTTTCCGGGAGGAGACTGAAACCTCGCAGACCTCCCCGGCCCCTGGGGCCAGCGTGGGCTCGGGGCCGAGGGGCCCGCGTCCCACCCGCGAGGCACCGTGCTGCGCCCGCCCGCCCGCCCGCCCGCCCTCCCGGAGGCACGCGCTGCTGGAAGGCACGGGTCCCGCGGGCGTGGGCGGCGGCTGGACGCCCAATTTTCAACCCACCCTCGGGGCTAAAACTCCCCGAAAGAAGGAGCCGACTCCCCGCGCGGACCTAGGAGCGCCTCTAACTCCGGGGCTCCCGCCGAGAACCCGGAGACCAACGGCGGCCTCCCCGCCCCCCGGCGCACACGTCAGCGGCGGCGTCGGGGAGGCGTCGTAATGCCCCGAAGAGGCGCGCCGCCGAAAAGCACCCTGCACCCCGCCGCCGCGGCAGCCAACCGAGAAACCCCTCCCGGGAGCGCACGCCAGCCTTTCCCGTTAGTTCGTGGCGGAGCAAAAGAAAGTCTCTCCGTGGATGTGCTTCGGGGGCGCGGCCGCTGTGCCTAAAGGTTTGTCGGAGCGGGGCCCTCAATAAGGCTGCGTGGCCGTGAAGCCTAACGTCGCTCCGAGCGCCAGTCATCCCTAATAAGGTTCCGCAGGTCCCGGCGGCGGCGACCCGGCAGCCGGCTCCCCTCGTCTGATCGCCTGCGCCCGCCGACCCGGCCCGAGGGTCCGCTTCAGAGCGTCTGCGCTCGGGAGGCGCGGCCAGAGCGGCCGTGGTGACGGGCGCGTCTATTGCGAGGCGCGTGGTAGTGATGGCGGCGCTCAGTGAGACTTTCCCGTCACTGGATACTACTACTCCCAGCCCTCCTCTAAGCCGCCGGAGCAACCCCCTGGTCTTTAGTTTACAAGTGGCAATTTGCCTCGCTCTGCTGCATGTCTGGAGGGACCGTGGAAAGTGTGGAGACGCCCCGGGGATCAAGCGATCGCAGCTTAAAAAGAAAAAAAGCCAAACCAATAAACAAAACCCGCCCACCCTAACAAACATGAGGCTGCTGGAGAGAATGAGGAAAGAATGGTTCATGATCGGAATAGTGCTGGCGATCGCCGGAGCTAAACTGGAGCCATCCGTAGGGGTGAAAGGGGGTAAGTGCCGCCCCTCGAACGCTCCACCGCGAGTCCCACTTCGCAACTAATTTTCGAGTGTGGGAAAGGAGGGGAAACCCCCATCGGGAAGTGGCGGCTTCCCTCAAGGGCACGGACCAGCTCAGGGCGTCCTTTGGCGTTTCTGCCCGTGTTTTAATTTACCAGCCCGAGACTGTGATTAGGAATGGGGCAAAGGAGTTGGAACGCAGGTTCCCTTTTCGGCGAACAGCCCATGCGTTTGCTCAGGTTAAGGAGTGAGCTCGCCGAGAATGAAACTTCCTCCCGTTGCCTCCCAAGTAGCATCCCGCCCCGAGGGGCGCTAGGTGGTTGCCCGGAGTTCCTCGTCTATCTGGGAGCCGCCACCACGACCAGGTCTATTTCCGGATCCCCCACCCCGCCCCCACGTGTGAGGAAAGGCAGTGCGGGAAGAAAAAGAGACACCCCTTCATCCTCCAACTAAGCTTTCGTGGCCCACATGTGGCAGAGTGACCTTCTGCTGCAGTTGCCGCCGCTCCAGAAACTCCCAAGCCGACTGACACGTTGCACTTTTTCGTTTACAGGACACTACTTCCGCGTGCTGCCCGGCCTCGGTTGCTGGTGCTCCGACAGATGCAGCCTGTGTCAGGCTGTGTGTAGTGTGGATTTTGGCAAGGAAATGCAGGCAGGCTAAAAGCATACCCTGATTTCTGAATAGTGGGAGCTTTGTAAGGTGGGGGGGGGGGGAGGCACTGGTGGAGACTGGAAATATCCTTCGGTCTCTATTCTCCCTGCCTTTTCACTTAGACAAACATGTCCTACTTTTCATGGACATTAATTGAGTTTCTTCATTCTCTTTCTGACCTTGTGAGTTTCCACCTTTATTGACAGTTTTAGCAGGTCAGTCCTACTACGACAGGGACAACTCGGGATACAGTTGAGCACGCACACAATCTTTTAGGAAGTACTCAGGAGGACACTTGAAGTTATATGTACCTCTTCGGTAAAACGTGGTGGAAGTGAATGAAACGATCTCTCATTGGAACAGTGGTTTCTTCTACCATCTACCTCGATTCATTCATTTAGAAGTAGCTTCAGGGAATATTTTAAAAAGGAATTATTTGAATAAAGATTGTGAGGATGAAGACTTTTTTTTTTTTTTATGTTTTTCTTTTTCTTCTATATTCAACTTAGTGCAAAATGTGAAGATGTAACCGAGAATAAAGCTGATATTCATCATGGTTTCTCCTTCTGAAAATCTTTGACCTGGCTAACCCGAGAGCTTTTGGAAAACGTGTGAATGCTGGTATTTCAGTTTCTGTCCTAAGAGTACCTTCTGTCCCTGAAGCTAGCTGAATGGGCAGAAGTAAAGGTGGAGAGTCTTTGTGGTGATCTGGAACACACACTTCACTAGCTTCAGGAGCACGCTTGGTAGCTTATGGTGTTAGACCTCTTATTTGCTCATTGTTAAGGTGTGATTACAGGTGATATATTATCTTTAAATCTGCAGGGGCTAGGTTTGGTAAAATACTTTTTATCTTACATTCCCAGGATGCTGTGGGAAGAAGGGTTATTGAATGCTGAATCAGTGAACTAGAGCTTCTTCGAAGTGGAATGTGTAAGATGGACTCTGAAATCTTATTTGTTCCTTTCGACTCTGCTTCTTGAAGTTTTGGTGTATTATTGTATCTTAGAAACGTTGCTTCTGATTTTTACCAGTACTCATGCTATTAATCCACGATAATTTATTTCTTTAATTATAAGAGTAGAAAGTAAATAGCTGAAAGAGACCTTGATGTATTTTAAGCCAACGTGCCGCCTTTATAGGTGAAGATACTGAGACCTGAGGTCAGGTGACTCATCCTTGGTTTAGTTAGCTAGCTCAAGGAAGAGGCACTGGACACTAGGGCTCTCCTTTTTTTTCATACTAGTTGCAAAATCCATACAAATTTTCGTACATATAATTTAAAATGAATAACTGTTGTAAAGAAGGGCTATATCCAATCAACACATTTTTAGCACCTCAATTTTTAACCCAAAAGAGCAGAGTAGAATCAGTTAATATTAAATAAGTGTACTCATGTGATTTGATAACTGTCCGTGTGCAAAATTTACTTGTTCTAAAAAATTAGAACAGACGATTGGGATGTCTTACATAGGCTGTCAGGCTAAGTTCTTGATAATTCTGTTGAGCTTTTAATTGATCTTTCCACCTGTGAAACTTCTTAAATAAAAATAAACCTCCAAATAGTACCAATTTCACTTCCCAAGTTAAAACAACAAAAATCTAGGAATAAGGAGAGGAATGGTTGCTGAAAATATTTCTATTACATTTTGCTCTTTAGAATGGTCAAAAGCACCTCTTTGTACTTGAAGTTTTACTTTTTATTTCTTTTTTTGGACTTGTAATTTTTAGGCAAAGGTTCCATTTATGGGCTCTGTTCACTTGGGAATGTGATTTTTAAGGCATTCATACTGACTGAAAATTTTTCATTAGAACAGTTTTCTAGAATTCTTTTAAATAGGAAAAGTTTTGGTAGTCTTAACATTTGTTAAGATTCACTTCATCTTTACCTGAATCGGTACACAATACTCAATATTTAAGTGATTTAAGTGCGAGAGTTCTGCACTGAAAGTATCATACCTCCCTTAAAAGCCAATAGGTCGGGCACCTGGGTGACTCAGTGGTTGAGTGTCACCTTTGGCTCAGGTCATGATTTCGGGGTCCTGGGATCAGGTCCTGCATCAGGCTTTCCACAGGGAAGCCTGCTTTTTCCCCCTGCCTATGTCTCTGCTTCTCTCTCTGTGTCTCTCCTGAATAAATAAATAAAATTTATAAATAAATAAATAAATAAATAAATAAATAAATGCATGCCAGTAGGTGACTTATATATCACAGGAAATTTATAGGTAATGGAAACCTGAAAATTATAGAAGTTGAATGACTTTCCAAATGGGAAAAAGTGGACTAGCCTCAATAATTTAATTCTTAGTTTACTGTTCTTTTTACTCCGGTGCATTTCATTTTTAAGTGTTTAGAAGAAATTGAAAATAAAGAGCCAGGGTAAATGTGAATGCGTGGATTCTGAGATGTTGATAATCTGTTCCAGTTCCAGCACAACCCAGGGAAGCCCTGAGCTATGCACACCTTAGAGTTTAGCAGAGTCTAACACTGTGTTATTCATTCTCGGGAAAAGAAAGGTTTCCTTCTTTGGAAGTACAGAGTAAGATTCTCATTTCTCCCTGCATCTTCATTTAGATTATTGGTATTAGTAAGACATAAATCCTAAGAGGAAACTGCTTTGTTTTTCTACTAAAAAACATAAGTAGAAACATGTTAAAGCTTAAGTGTGTGAGCATTAATATCTTAGATTAGGTATAGAAGTGAAATTTACTTGGTGATGACTTCTCATTTTATGAAATGGTAATAGTTCCTTCATTTTTTTTTAAGGTTTTATTTATTTATTTGACAGAGAAAGAGAGAGACAGAGAACAAGCAGCGGGAGCAGCAGACAGAGGGAGAGGGAGAAGCAGGCTTCCCACTGAGCAGGGAGCTCGATGCGGGGCTGGAACCCAGGACTCTGGGATCATGATGTAAGCTGAAGGCAGATGCCCAACCTACTGAGCCACCCAGGCACCTCAGTTCCTTGTATTCTTAAGTATTCCAAATCATTTTCGTTTATCTCTCCCATTAAAAAAGCCAGTTTTTTTTCTGGCTAATTTTTCTTCTGGTTTTGCTACACCATTCCATTTTCGCTGATAAACTTTTTTTTTTTTTTTTGCTTTTGTTTCAAGGAAAAGCTAAAACCTTTATTTCTACTTTGAACTTTATAGCCATCTTAAGATTCAGGTCTTATTTAGATCTATATTGGTGACACGGAGGATATAATCATTATCTTGGAGAGAAGCCAGATCTCATTTGTATACGTAGTCTCAACTGTCACCTCTGTGCAAGTGTTTACCAAGTGTTTATTCCACTCCTGTATGATTTCTAGGTCCCCATTCCCAACTTGGGCAGTCTATTAGCATAGCAACTGAAGTTGATCACATCTCAAAGGTGCTTTAGGTTTCTCCAAATCAGAATTAATTCCTTCTTCTCCCCTCAACCCTCTTTTTTTTTTTTTTTTTTAAGACAAGGGAGGGGAAGTGGGAGAGGGAGAGAGAGAATCTTAAGCAGGTTCCACACCCAGCTTGGAGCCCAACATGAGGCTGAATCTCAGAACCCTGAGATCATGACCTGAGCTGAAATCAAGAGTCGGACACTTAACTGATTGAGCCTCTCATGTGCACCCTCTTCTTCCCTTTTAAAAGTACATTGTAGGAGGCCATGGCATATCCTCACCATGTTCTTCCATGAATTAAAGTCGTTTAGATGTGCTTCTAATACAAAAGACATTGCACCCTGTCTCTGGGATTTAAAGCATGAAAGCCAGAAATCATTTTACCAATTAGTTTATAGTTTTTCGTGTGTGTGTGTGTGTGTGTGTGTGTGTGTGTGTGTGTGTGTAGCATGGAAGAGTTAGCTTCTTAAAAAATAAGCCAACTAAGGCAGATGCTTTAACTGCCCCAAAGAAACATGCACTCTAAGTAAGCCATGTCCTTGTTGTAAAGATACATCTTTGGATGTGTCCCCTGCTCTCCCTTGTGACCACACTGCTAATTTTTAACTCACCCTGTATAGAAATTCTGGGGCACTGCTGTGGGCAGAAGTGTAGTTGACAAGAATAAGATCTCATAAAAAGCAAAGGATTGGAGGAAAATAAAAATGTTTTAAAACAAATAAACAAGTTATTTAAAATTCCTGGAAGGCATTTACTTCCAAAACAAGCCAGATTCCTTGACTTTAAAATCTGTGCCTGATTCAGCTTCCTTAGTTGTACAGGAAACATTATTTCTTAAGTGTGAGCTGCAGAGACAGATTCACTCACAAGTATAAAAAATACACCCCTTTTTAAGTTTTGGAACACTTACACTGCCTTGAAATGTAATGCCTTTTGCACTTGCCTTCTTCCTTTTTCTCCTGTTTCTCAGATGTCAGCAAAATAATTTGTTTAAATGCCAAGTACATACGAGAATTTACTGCTATGTTTGAGGAGATCTTTGTTTCTTTTTGTTCATTGATGTGGTACAAACGCCCAAAATATAGTATTTGCTTAGTAAATATTTGTTGACTAAACAGTGATTTTTCCTGAGCTTGGTGTTACATTATCGAGCAATATCTGTCATTATGGTGGAAGGCTGCAGGGAATGGAGGAGCTATGATTGTGGTCTTGTTGCATAAGTGAGGGTATTAGTTTCCTAGTGCTACCACACCAGATTCACACAAACTGGGAGGCTTAGAACAAAGAAATGTATTTTTTAGAAATTATTCCAGAGGCTGGAATTCTGAAGTCAAGGGCCATGCTCCCACTGAAGGATTAGGGAAGAATCCTTCCTGGCGTCTAGCTTGTGGTGGTTACTGCCTATCCTTGGTGTTTCTTCGCTTATGGTCATATAGCTCCAGGCTTTCCATCTGTTGTCTTCACATGGCCTTCTTGCCTCTGTGTATGACTCTGTCCAAATTTACCTCTACTTGCAAGAATACTAGTCGTTGGATTAGGGCCCACCATAATCCATTAAGACCTCATCTTGACTTGATTTTATCTGCAAAGAACCAGTTTCCAAATAAGGTCACATTCATAGGTTGTGGATACACATGAATTTTTGGAGGATACTATTCAATTCAGCATGAGAGGGCTGAATAGAGTGTCGGTTCTAGGGTGATCAGATTTTAACATGTTGACATATGCCAATGTTTCTCAACCTCCGTGCTGTTGATGTTTTGGACATGATAATTCTTTGTTGTTGGGCGGGCTGTCCTGTGCCCTCGAGGTTGTTGAACAGAATTCCTGATCTCTATCTATTAGATGCCAGTAACGTACCCTACTTTCTGAATTATAACAACCAAAAAGAGTTTCCAAACATTGCCAAATGTCTGTGGGAGGCAAAATTGCTGGCTGCTGGAGAACCACTGGTATATAAGTACAAAATGGCATTTTCTTAGAACTAAATCTTTTAAAAGAATGTTGCTCTTGGTTAACACATTAGGTGTTCAAGACAATTGTATACTGGCTACAAAAAGAAGTAAATATTCGGGTTGCTGCTATTGTCCTTAGAGCATTAATGCATTGGGGGTGATGCCAGCCTAACTCTAGAAAGGATTTTCCAGAGGGCAAAGATCAGGCCTGTCTGGTTCCCTACAGGTAGCCAGGGCCTGGCACAATGTAGTAATAATGGCAAACCTAACCTATTGTTAGTATGCTGTTACTCTCTGTGCATAATTTCATTCACATAGTAAGTGCTTAATAAATATTTGTAGAAATAAATGCCCTTAGGCAGAATTGAATGTACTCACGAATACAAGTTTTTATTTCTGGTATCCTAGAAGGAATAAAATAGTATTTGCCAAAGAGAAGGGAACTTCTTCCGTTGATTCTCTTCTTTGGTTTGGGAATTTTGATTCTTGTATAAGCACTGATACTGTGGTAGATGGGTTTAGGACCTAATACCAAAGGATGTTGCCCCCCTGTTCTCCTGTGTGAGAGCAATTTATTTTTTATTCTTCTGGTCTGAGGATACTGTGCTGAACTGGACAGCCATGGTCCTTGCCTTCTAGAAAATCCCCTTTGGAGTTAGACTGCATCACAGCAAATGTTTAACTCTGTCAGAACAGTAGTATATTAGGGCAACCCTGAAATTTGATGTACGATTTGCCCTCCCACAACGAATTCTTCTTTCATACCAAGTTATCCACTGGAAATTCTTATCTAATGGTAACTTATTTCTTTCTCTTTAGGACCACTGAAGCCAGAAATAACTGTCTCCTACATTGCTGTTGCGACGATATTCTTTAATAGTGGACTATCATTAAAAACAGAGGTACTGTCACTTATGGGGCATGTGACAAGTAGGGAGAAAAATTTAATTGGTGCTTATTATTTTGAAATTTCAGAATCATTTCAAAAGATGTATGTAACTGTGGTCTAAAGGCTTCACCCTATCAGAAGACAACTTGGACTTGAGTGAAGGACTATATTTTGAACCTACATATTACAGAAATTTTGTAGTTGAACAACACAGCCCCTGAGGGTGTGGTTATAATAGGTATGTTTTTAATAGAGGAACTGAACTGAATGAAGCATCTACTTTAGGTCTTCCTCAGATTTTGGCAGTGACTATGGTGGTGACTGCTATGGCATATTTAAGTTGTTGATGTTTAGTTGGATTTCCTAATTTTTGTGGATGAAATTTTGTTGTCAGGACTGATGCTGCTCAAGTGATACATGTTGTAATTTTTAACTCATTTGTATTTTTTTTAAAGTATATTCTTTGCTGGCATATCTATGAAATATTAGCAAATGTTTCAAGAGAAAAATTGGGATTTTTCATACTATGTCCCAATTCATTATGAAGACATGTGGATAATGTTATTTGTTGATACGGGTGTCACTGAACATGGGATTCTCCTAGAAGTAAAGAAATCAGACGTTTTTTTAACATCCAAGAGAGGAATGAGTAGAATTTATTATTCTCTTTTGACATATAATAGAAGGGAAAAAAGGGGAAATGTGCCTATTTATTTTTGAAGAAATTACTTAGGGTTTTTAAAGTTCTTATTCTAAAATGCTTATTCTTAAGTAGAGAGGGAAATCTTCCATGCAAGCATTTTTTTTAAATAGCTTTAAAAGTTAAAATTTTGTTTCAACATCATGTCTTTGCTTTACTTATTTTAAGTATGATTCGAATGAGGACCAAATTTAGTTACCTCCTTTTTTGACCGTCCTAATAGCAACATGGACAAAATATGGTTTTTCTAAACTTATGTATTCTCTAGTCATCTGGTTGGTATAAATCTTTCTATTGGAGCATTTTTTATATAAATGGGATCCCTGTGTAGTATCTGATAAACTTGTCTCAAAAATTCTGAATATCCTCACTACCTGTTCTGAAAATAACTGGCATAGGATGGAATTTCCAAAATATGTTAGATCTCCTTTCTGCAAATTATATTGACATGAGAGGACTATGATCTTAGAGGGCACAGGCTTTTTCTGTCAACATCTTTGTTCAATAGGTTCTCAAATATGGGGCCTAGTGGTACAGAAAAATACTTGATACTCCCATGGTGCTGGACTGTTCTTCCTTGGAGGTCTTCCTGCTGGTGGCTAATGCCCCTTTGTGGAGCAGCTGCCTTACCCAAGTGCTCTTCTTGGGACATTGCTCTATGTCCCCTGGTGGCTGCTTAACGGCTACAGCTGTTACTTATGCCATGAGAAATCTGGCAAGAGACTTGATTCTCTAACTCCCAGCTTCTTGCTTAATGTGATTCTGTAATGCAGCCAACTTTGTGGGATGCAGGAGTTTAAGAAGGAAGAATGTCACAGCTATCAGCATTTCTCTAAGGACCAAATTCTTCTGTAAGCACCTAGGAAACCTTCCGAGTCATCCAGCTAATTTGGATCTAACGATCAAATGCCTTAATCCTGTGCTTTATCACGGTATCTAAGTAGCCATCAAAGTCATTTCTTCCATCAATGGCCCTTTTCAAACTATACTACATTAAGTCATTTTCAAGATCCACTTAAGATGGTCTAGATTGTATCATTGTATAATGTTAAACCATCTTTAGGGCCTGCTAATTTCCTGGGCAACCAAACAGTTTTAGGTTTGGAGGTAGCAATTTTGTTATTTGTTTCCTAGTTAATAATCTTACATTTATTTCAGCTGGGACAACTTTTTGAATGCTATTAGCATAGTGCATTTTCACACACAGGAGATGGTTAAGTTGTTACTGACTTGAGTTTATTTGAGAGCATTTACATTGGTCCCATTCAAGTTTGATTTATACTGAGCATTTCATGTAGTATTACCTATACATTGATATAATGATGTATATTCTAAAATTTGTTTTGCTGATTTAATAAAATCATAAATAACTGTGTTAACACTTAACACTAAAAAGATTTAATGCTGTCTCCAGTTTTATGACTGTTGATTTCTAGATTTTAAAACATCTGTTAAAATGTTTTCTGAAAATTTGTTGTACCCAAGTCAAATAAGTCACATTGGAAATATATTGTATGTTTAGCTAATTAGGAGCTACAGTTTCAGAGGATTTGTCATTTAGCAGACCCTGGCAGGACTAATCTCAGACGAACCTATGAAATCTCATAATACCTATGAAATGCCTGTGGCTACAAGGCACTATGTTTGGCACTGGGTTGGAAACAAAGATGAGCAAAATGCTCAGAGCCTGGAAAGGGTCCTGAGTAGGGCAGAGTATACAGGTCTTTGCTTATTTAACTAAACAGATTATTTTTTGAAGCTCTACTACCTTAGAAGTAAATATAGCAAATTTTAAACTTCAGGTTCATGCTGCTTGTTTCCAGCTCAGAGCTATAGACTGATTCTCAGAAAGTGAATCAAATAAAGGTCAAATAAGAGTTAGAAGGGAAATTGGTATGTAATGAAAATATTTCTACATCTCAGTCAGAGACCCTGATTTTAAGCAATTCTTGATACTGTCCGTGATAACTCTGGCGTAGTCAATATTTGGAGTATCTCCTTAAGTTTATTTTAATGGAATTTGACCTGTATTACATGTGAATAAATAAAATGTCATGCAGAATCAACTTTTCAGTAATTCATGATGGCATTTATTTGAATAGGTAGCCCTAAATTCTGCATGAGTATGTATAGAATTATGCTATTTTGGATGTTATAGTGTTCACTTGCATTTTTCTTTTCCATTGTCACCTTATTTTATCTTTATGGTTATATGAAGAAGATATGGAAAATATAACCCTGGGTTTTTGTGATAGCCTTGAAAATCTTTCTTAGGAATACTCCATGCCTGCTACTTCCCTGTTGTTAAGAGGCCCCTCATGACCCAACATGGTGAGCCTTTGTGATGCATTTTGCTGGAATATTTATTGTTCCATTATTCTGATGCAATGACAATTGCTTATAATTGTCATTTATTAGATCAGCTAGTATTTTTAAACTACATTTTGGTTTTTATAACTTTTTCTATTACAAAAGTGTTAATTCTATTGTAGAAAGATTAGAAAGAATAAAAACAACTAGTATTAACATCTCTGTGATTTTTAGTCCCTTTTTTCCTAAACATGTTTTACATATAGAATATTTAAAAAGGAAATATTTTTTAAATTGTATATATGTAAGTATATATACATGTATATGCATACTTGCATATGTCACATATGTCAATACATATATAATCTTTTTCCCATGTAACATTGTATAATTATAATTTTTATGTAACAATATATTAATTTAATTTTTCTTCATGTATATGAAATTTACATTTTGTTTACTTTTATGAACATAAATCAAAGGGTACAAAGGTATATATGATGAGAAGTCTTCTTTTCTACCCTCTATTAGATATCTGGAGATAACCAATGTTAATAGTTTCTGTGTATCTTTCCAGAGATAGTCTGTGTAAAATATATGTGCTTTACCCCCTCCTCCCTTTCAAGCTGTGATGTTTTGTACTGCATGCCACCCTGTCTTGTTTTACTCAAAAAACATATCTTGGAGATAGTCTCATATGAACATGTAAAGAACTTGTTTCTTCTCGAATGCTGGAAAGCGTTCCATATTTTTTTTTTGAAAGCGTTCCATATTATGAATGTGTCACGATTTATTTTACTAGGTCTCTATTGAGGAACATTTAGGTGATTTTTAAGGTTTTGCTATTATAAAAGTGCTGCAAAGGATAACCCAAAAATTGTCCATTTTCCCACATTTGGTAGAAAATGAGAAGGATTAATTCCTAGAAATAGAATTGCCAAGTCAAATCATATATGCAGTGTAAGTTGTGACATATTCCAAGTACCTAGGACAGAGTTGGATTCTCAGTGTTTGTTGACTGAAGGAATGAATTGCGAGATTGCTGTCCTTAGGCTGTGCCAGTTAATACTCCTATTGGTTGAGTAGGGAAGAGATCTTGTGTTCCCACATGCTTGTCAACACAGTTTTAACATGGTTTTTGCTAGCTTGTAACAGTCTTGTCATACTTTAAGTTACTTAATTATTCACCCATTTTTGGACTTTTAACTTGTTTCCTGATTTTACTATAATAGATGATGCTGTCCTGATCAATTCTTTGGGATTCAGGAATGTGAATCATATTATAGTCTTGATATATATATTCCCAAGTCACTTTTCAGAAAAGTTATGCTGCTTCATATTCCTATCTAAAGTATATGTGGTTTCCTTGGTAACTGCATTCTGGCTAATCATTTTGTTACAGTTAAAAAATTAAAATATTAATATTTATTTGGTATTTATCAAATACCTCTGAGTATATTTGAGTGGGATTTAGTTTTGAAACTGCTGAGCATTCTTGGAACTGCTGGTTCTCAAGTTTTCTCTGGGTGAAATTTTAAAAATTCTGATACAGTGTAAGGATGGCTCCTTTTATCTTAGATCGGATCCATGGGCCTGGTGTGGTCTCTGGTCTGCCCAGTGCCTCCCATTTGTCTGAAATTAGACTCAGATTGCCAGAATTGCTTTCAGTGTCATTAGAGATGTTTTGTGACCACACTGCTACTGCTGTGTGTCTTCATAGAGGGAGATAAGTAGTGGGAACCAAGGAGGCAGATCCCTGAAAGTGGCGATCAGGATCTTCATTAACCTACTGTCCATTAAACTGATAAACTTTGGCTAATGTCTATGAGGCTGAGGATTTCTTGAATGTCTTACTTGAAGTAGGGGAGACCTTACAGTGCTATCTTTATAACTGGTGAATCTCTGGCATCTTTGTGCTTTAATGACTTCTTGCATATTTTATAAGACTGTACTTTTTCTACTGCTCTTTGAATTTGTCTTATTTCAACGGAGTAACACTGTAACCCAAAGAATCCAATGCAAATACTTGTTTGTATATATTTGAGCCCCCCAGATTTAACTCATTATCCTTTTTTATCTGTGAGACAAATAACATGTACCTGGTTTGTCATGTTTAATGTGAATTTCTTCCATCTGGGGGCAATAGTGTGGTAAAACGGAGGAAGCAGACATGAGTTTGCTAGCATACCAGAAACTAATTTGATTCTGAGCTTCACTGTATGGTAGCTCTCAACCTCAATTTCCTCCTCAGTAAGATAGGATGATAATATTGAATGGGGCTGTCGTGAGGATTAAATGAGATAACACATAAAGTGACAAGCTCAGAGCATGGCACATAGCCGCTGTTCAGTAAGCATTTGCAAAGAAATCTAGAAAGTTGATTTTGGGGGGGAAAGCCATTTTGAATTGTAGAATATTGTTGGGGAAAACATTTTTAAAAATTATGATTTGTGTGTAGATTGGTAACATCTTGCCAAAGTGAGGCCTTATTGGAGATTAATCATATTTAATTAAAATGTAATGGGTCCTTAAGTAGTTACATACATGTTTGTTCAGTGTCAACAATCCTCAGGTCTATACTAATGTAAAGGTACTTGGCTCAGTCTTGGTCCAGAATTTTACAAATCTCTGAATTGTTGGGGTATATTGTATACTCAGAAAACAATTAGACTATTTCAGACATTTTGTATAAGAATACCTCTTTTTTTTCCCCCTTAAAGTCCATCTGTTATGTCTATGTTTAGAGATAAAGAACTCTGAAATAACTCCAAATTAAAAATTAATTTATTTGATGTTATTTTAGTAGCCGCCTCTCTCTAGAAAAATAGTTTTCTTACCTTTACTGTTTTGTGTCTTTCATTTTTGCAGGAGCTGACCAGTGCTTTGGTGCATATAAAACTGCACCTTTTCATTCAGATCTTTACACTTGCATTCTTCCCAGCAACAATATGGCTTTTTCTTCAGCTTTTATCAATCACACCCATCAATGAATGGCTTTTAAAAGGGTATGTTTAAATATTTTGAAAGATCCACTTTTAATGAGGCAACTTTATTGTTTCTGTGGCAACTATGTACACAAGGGCTTATGTGTGGTATCTTATAAGGAAATAAAACACTTTAAAAATTATTATACTTTAAAATGATAGTGTTCATCAAGGAGACGATTCATCAAAGAATTTTCTAACATGATTTTTTTCTTTTTTTCTAAGAGTTTTATTAGTAAATTTTTTTAAATTATAATTTTGGTATTGCTAACATACAGTGTGATTATAGTTTCAGGAGTACAGTATAAAGATTTGACAATTTTGTATATTACTCTGTGCTCATCAACATAAGTGTGCTCTTAATTATAACACAATCTTAATATACACACACCCTCAATTTTAATCTTAACATTCTGGGATGGATAGTCTGCTGGGAATATTAAAAAGCTGTGTTGGGAGAAAGATGGAAGAGAATAGAAGGTGTAAAATACTGCCAGTTGGGTGTTTTAGCTTGTACATCCTATATTTTACCAAATGTGTATAGATAACGGCTGAGTATAATGTATGTTATTTTAACGTGTAGGAAAGAAGAAATCTATATAGCAAATAAACATTTACTTTTTTTACTTGTTCTATGTTTGATACAGTAGTTGAATTAACAATAGATTTTTATTAGATACTCTTCTTCCATTAAAAATGCCATGTTTATTAAAATAATTTAGTGAATTTTAAAAATTATTTGAAGTGGTTTAAAACTAACCACATTTCAGCAGCATGGTATAATAATCTAATAGTTAAAACATTGAACTTAGAGCCCCGAGATTGCTTTCTGACCCTGTCCCTAACTGGCTGTGCAACTTTGAAGAAGTCATGTAGTAGATTTAAACCTTTATTTCCCTGCCTACAAATAATGAGGATAGTCATACTTTTACTGTCTGCGTGGTAATGGTGTTGAGGATCTCAATCGAGATCACTTATTCATCTATTCAGGTCACTTGTTTACTTCCCACTATGTGCCAGGAGTTACTTATAGGTGTTGGAGAAGCAATAGTGAAGAAAAATGGCAAAGTGCCAGTTTTGCTGGTTGAGAAGACTTCAGTGTTATTGGCAATAAACAGGTAGATGACTAAGATAGAGATAAGTGATGGGAAGTAAAACTGTGAGATAGTTGAAAGTGGTTGGGTGGGTAGGCCAATGATTAATTTAGATGGCAGAGTTCTAGGAATAGAATGTTCTAGGTAAAAGAAAAGAATGTGTAAAGGCTGCAAGGCAGGGACAAGCCTGGTTTTTTAGGGTCAGGAAAATGATGATGATGGCCAGAGCCTGACAGTACAAAGGGAGAATGATATGACTTGGAAAGGTAGGCAGGGGCCAGGTCACACAGAGCCTTGTAGGGTCCGTGATAAAAACATTTAGATTTTAGTCTGTGTGCAACAGAAAGCTACCGGAGAGATTTAAGTGAGGGAATGTTGTGGTCTGATCTGTATTTTCAAATTATTGTCCTGGCTACTGCATGGAGAATAGATAGTTGAGGGGATGAGAGAAGACTAGGAGACCAGCTTGGAGGCTCCGGTGGTAAGGTAGCTGTGCAGGAGAAAGAAATGGGCATTGGAGGATGTATTGTAAAATTAGAGCTCTCAGAACCTATGGATGGATAGGATGTGGAGAGAGGACAGGAAGGAATCAAGGATGACGTCTGGGTTTTGGGTCTGAGCCATGGGGTAATTGGTGGCATTTTCTTAGCTGAGGAGAAACAATAGGACAAGAAGGGGGAAATTAAGACTGCTGGCTTGGGCAAACTGAGTTTGAGAGCATAAGCATAAGATTTTCACCAAAAAACATAAAATACCACAGAACTATGATGACATCATTTTACAGCGGCCATGTATGATGCATATTAATAAGAACCAATAGTTACTGAGTGTTTCCCATGGAAAGGGCACTCAAGGAATAGGAAGATAACTCATTTTTCTTGTATTCAGGAAACATCCCGGGTAGTTGGATATGTGGGAGATACAAATATAAAATAGTAACCAACCACAGTGGGGCAGCATATGATTTGTTAGAGAAGTAGTGTAATGAGTTAAAGGGTAAGAGGCTCAGCAAAGGCTGTGTATTCCTAAAATACCAAAATAAGGCATTAGTGGGAGACAAAGATAAAAATGTTCCTCACAGCCTTGTTGCAAAAGGTCTGAACTACTGGGCTGAGCTGTTTGGGTTTGCATATCTAGATGATGGGGAATTCTTAAATATATTAAACAAGAGAACAACATGCTAAAAAATGGTCATTAAGAAGGATTAATCTGATAGCATTGTACTGGGTTTATTATTAGTAGAGTAGGGCTTACAATCTCAGGAAGCTGAGATAGAGTTCTCATCTCAGGATATTAAGCTTAAAGGAGCACACAATTAGCCTAACTAACATAGGGAAAGCTCTTCCTAGTCCGCTTTTTCTCTGTTCCCCTCCCCAGTTTGAGAGTACACAGTATATTAACTTGAGGGAGTTGTAGACTCCTACCTCAGGATCATGTTTAAGTCATTAAAATTAATAAATATTTTGAGCACATCTTTCTTACCTTGCTATGTAAAGGGAAAGAATGGAGGTAGAGCATTCAGTAGGCATTTATAAAAGTCCAAACTTGGGCAAAAAGCATCTGAAGGAGGATGATGGCAACCGTCATGGAAAAGAATGGAAAGTTGGTTGTAATAATACATTGATTTATGAGGAGCAAGTGGAGCCACGTGTAACTCTAAAGTTTCAAATTGGATATTGAAAAAAAGCCCACCAAAACTATCACATTGACAGAAGTAAGTAAATTCAGAGGTGAAATTGATTTTTTAGAAAATGTTAGATATGTTTAGTTTGAGATGGCAGTTACAGGCAGCTACAAATTTGGGAATGGTAGTTAGGGCTAGAAATGTAATGGCAACAGTACTCATTTTGCTGTTATTATTTGCATTTGTGTATTGAATATTTTTGGAGATAGGAATAGGAATATATCCTAACTATAGAACACATCATATGTAATGTGTATTCAATATATAGCTTAGGGATTTCTTTTCTTTTTTTTTTTTTTTTTTTAAGACAGGGAGAACTCTGCTTTTTTGTACCTAGAAGGGAAGGGACAAGAAGAGAGGGAAAGATTGAAAATACCTGAGAGGACTTGTCTCTAGTATTGGGGGTAGGAAAAATAGAAAGTAGAGAGACTAGAATAATAGGTCTAGATAAGCCATTGACCCTGGATTCCAGAATAAAAGTTTAATCCTTGGTAGATGGCTTTGTGAATTTGGACAAGTTACTTAACTTCTCTTTTAACTTCAGTTTTCAGTAAAATGGGATTAATAATAGAAGTTATCTTAAATACTTGTGAGGAAGAAATGAGTAAAGTATCTAGAATAGTATCTACTATAAATGGTAAATGCTTAATAAGTATCAGTGATGATAATAGTGATGATCTTGAGGAAGGCTCAGAGATTAGGAATTGGTAATAGGACAGACAACTTAAGCATCACTTGGGAAAATAGACCTTAAAAGAAGACTTGAATTGCACTGGGAATTCTATTAAAAGTGTTTTTTCATGTTTTCAGTCAAAATGAGTTAAAGCTTTTCTTTTTCTTTTTCTTTTATTTCAGATGTAATGTAAATTTATTGCGTAAAACTTTTGTAGGTGATTCCTACAAAAGCAAGTAGAAGTCATCGGGACTCCTGCATTTAAAATTTGTTAAAGTCAGGCACTGTGTCCTCTGTTCCCTATATGAATTTTCTACTTTTAGTCAGGCCAGCTGCTCTCTTATGTCTAGAATGTATGTCTGTCTATGTAGAAAGTATATCCATGGTTTGGATAACAAGTAATGTTTTATATCTTAAGTATTTAGATTTACCACTCATAGTTTCATTTGCTTGTTATGCAATGTGTTTTGTGTCCTAAACTCAGAGAATAGACTTCTTGTTATGATCTGGGGAGTGTACACAATTTAATAAAAAATGAATTTAGAATAGGTACTAGAATTTACTACAGTTTGAATCAGAGAAGTATATGATCATGTTATGCCTGTTCTTTAATGAAATTATGGCAACATGAACATACATTTTATGAGCTGAAAGTTTGAGAATTGCTGTTTATAATTGAAAAAAACCCTTATAATTGCATTTTCTTTTATTTTCCAGTTTGCAGACAGTAGGTTGCATGCCTCCCCCTGTGTCTTCTGCAGTGATTTTAACCAAGGCAGTTGGTGGAAATGAGGTGAGTCATAGGGCTAACTTTATTTAAACATAAGTAGATGCTTTACTTTTTTTTTTTAGTTTTATATTTTATTTTATTTTTAAATTTTATTTAACTTTATGATGAAGAAATCATGTCACAGAAAACTTCTTTCATAACTGTAGGTATATTCATTAATTTGGATGATGCTAACATTAATGATGATGAGTGGAAATTAGGATTTCGAAGAGAAGAGCAAGGGAGGTAAATGAAATAGAGATGGTGATTTTTCTACCTCAGTGGGAAATTAGGAGACAGATGACAAGCAATCCAAGGAAAGGTACTTTTCAGTGTTTGGATCACCTGGAGGTGTATGACTTAGCATTTTTCAACCAACGGAACAATCACCAATAAATTGTTCTAAATCATCTCTAGTTTCTGAAGTAGACCATTTCTATCAATAAAGAAACACTCTTCTTTGACCACAGGTGTATATTTAATTTTTAAAGAAATTGCCAAGCTATTTTCCCAAGTGATTGTACCATTTTACATTTCAGATAGCAGTGTATGGAGTTCTTATGCTCCATATCTCTTCAGCACTTGATATTGTCAGTCTTTTTTTTTTTTTTATATTGTCAGTCTTTTTTAACTCAGCCATTCTAATATGTATCTAGTGATATCTCATTGCGGTTTTAATTTGATTTATCTTTCCCAGCTACTAATAATGTTGAACATTATTATCTTTTCATGTATTTACTTGCTGTACATGTCTTCTTTGGTGAAATATCAAATATTTTGGCTTTTTATATTTTAGCTAGATGGTTTTTTTTATTATTGATCAGTGTTGTGAGTTTTATATATTCTAGATACAGGTCCTTCATAGATCTATGCTTTGTAAATATTCTTTACCATTCTGTAGCTTGTCTTCATTTTCTCAACCAATGTCTTTCGAAGAGTAGGATGGTAGTGAAGGTAGTAAAGGTGGTTGGATACTGGATGTAGAGGATATGCTGATGAATTAAATGTGGGATATGAGAGAAACAGAGAGGTCATGAATGACTCCAGGACTTTAGACTGAGTAAGTGAAAGAATGGGGTTGCAGAAGGTTTTTATCAGGAGTGGATGTTGTACTTTGTAAAATGCTTTTTCTGGATCTGTGGAACTGATCATATAGTTTTTATCCTTTCTCTTATTGATGTGACATGTCACATTGATTGCTTTGCAAATATTGAACCACCCTTCTGCCTCAGGAAGATAACCCACTTGATCATGGTATATGGTTTTTAAAAATATATTGTTGGATTCAGTTTGCTAATATTTTGTTGAGGATTTTTACATCTATATTCATGAGAGATATTAGCCTGTAGTTCTCTTTTTTGTAGTGTTTTTATGTGGTTTGTGCATCAGGGTAATGCTGGCTTCATAGAATGAATTTGGAAGTTTTCCTTCCTCTTGTATTTTTTGGAATAGTTTGAGAAAATGGATATTAACTCTTTAAATGTTTGGTAGAATTTGCCTATGGAGCTATCTGCTCCTGGACTTTTATTTTTTGAGTTTTTTTTTTATTACTGATTCAATTTCATTGATCTGTTCAAATTTTCTATTTCTTTCAGCTTCAGTTTGGTAGGTTATATGTTTCTAGGAATTTATTCATTTCTTCTAAGTTGTCCAACTTTTGGGCATATAGGTTTTTAAAAATACTCTGTTATAAATGTTTGTATTTCTGTGGTGTTGGTTGTTATTTCTCCTCTTTCATTAGTAACTTTATTTGGGTACTCTCTCTTTCTTTTTTAGTGAATCTCGCTAGAGATTTAACAATTTTGCTGGTCTTCTCAAAGAACCAATTCTTGGTTTCATTAATCCGTTCTATTTTTTTTTTTTAATCGAATGGCATTTAAAGCAAAAATTGGATGAGATTACTTGCGAAGAGGGCATAGTTAGAAAGGACATGAAGTTCAAGGACTGAGCTCTGGGACCCTCCAACATTAAGAGGTCACAGAATGAGGAGTAACCAGCAAAGGCAACAGAGAAGATTAGACAGAAGGAGAAAAAAGAGAGTGTGGTATCCTGGAAACCAGTGTTGGAAGGAGGAGGGTATAATCAGCCATGTCAAATTCCTGATATGACTTGTGTAAAATGAATTCTGAGAATTGACCATTGAATTAAGCTACATGGAGGTTATTGGTAACTTCAACCAGAGTGGTTTTGTGGAGTAGGGACAAAAGCTTATTTGGAATGGGCTCAAGGAAGAATAAGAGGAGAGGAGTTAGAGACAGAAAGTATACACAACTGTTTTGAGGTCCTTTGTTACAAAAGGAAAGAGAGAAATGGGGCTATATTTAAAGAGGGATACGAGGTCAAGATTTTTTTAAATGCAGAAATGACAGTATTTTTTTAAAGATTTATTTATTTATTTTAGATAGAGCATGAGCAGGAGAGGCAGAGAAGGAGTGAGAATCTCAAGCAGACTCCCCCATGAGTGCTGAGTGGGGCTCAATCTCATGACCCTGAGATCACAACCTGAGCCAAAATCAAGAGTAGAATGCTTAATTCATTGTACCACCTAGATGCCCCAGAAATGATAGTATGTTTCCATCATAATGGGGATTATATAGTTGAGAGGAAGTTGTTGATTTAAGAGAGTGCTGAAGTAATTTATATGGTCAAGAGGAAGAGAATGGTATTGGGTTGCATGAACTTCAGTAGGAGCTTGGATCATTTATTGATGATAACTGGAGAAAAGACAGTGTGTGGATAGAGATCCATGAAGATGGGTAGAAAGGGTACACTTGGGAGTTGTGATGATTTTTTGTTTCTTAGCTCTCTTCTCATTTTCTTTGTACTCTTCTGGTTTGTTTGTTTGTTTTTTAGGTTTTATTTATTTATTCATGAGACAGAGAGAGAGAGACAGACAGACAGACAGACACACAGGCAGAAGCAGGCTCCATGCAGGGAGCCTGACGTGGGACACAATCCCCGGTCTCCAGTATCACACCCTGGGCTGAAGGTGGCGCTAAACCTCTGAGCCACCCGGGCTGCCCATGTACTCTTCTGATTTTCACTTTTTTTCTCAGCAGCTGAAAGTGATGTTGGAGTAGGGGGTATTATGTTTGAGATGAGAGGATAAAATTGCAATTACCATCTAGGAGGGTGAATTAACTGGAGAGTATGGTAGCATTGCTGGAAGCACTAAGGAACCAGCTGACACCTATGGTCATGCATTTAAAATGAAGCCTGGGGATGGCTGGGTGGCTCAGCGGTTGGGCTTCTGCCTTTGGCTCAGGACATGGTCCCAGACCTCAGAATCCAGTCCCACCTTGGGCTTCCTGCATGGGGCCTCCTTCTCCCTCTGCCTGTGTCTCTGTCTCTCTCTGTCTCTCTGTCTCTCATGAATAAATAAAATTCAAAAAAAAAAATGAAGCCTGGCATCATGCTTTCTCTTAGCCACATTTAGTTTCTTAGTGTAGAAATGGAATTTACAGAGTTGGATTTAACCAGAGTTTCATTATGCTGGATAGTTCTTTTTAGTTGCCACATAATTAGTGAGCTAGAGGAGTTACAGGAGTCTTAGACTGTCTTTGTCATGATTATCTTTCTACTGCTTTTGAAGACCGAGGAAAGGGTCTTTTTTGGTATAATTAACACTGAGACCAGTGTTAATTGGCTTAAAGTTGTCATTTGTCTCTTTCTCTCTGATGTGACTCCCTTAAGTGCTTTAAAACTAAAAAACCTTTTTGTTCTCAGCTGACTTTTGGCAGAAGTTCAAAGTTCACTCATTTTCTTGACATTAATATATAGCATTAGAAATTATATTTACATGTTTATTCTCCAGTAGATATTTAAATTATTTGCATTGATGTTGCATGATAATAATGTTGAATTTGTTTTCTAATATCATTGGTTTAGTTTGTTAAATGATTATATTGTGTGACTTTATCATCATTGAGCATTTTTGTAGTCCTGGGGAGTAAGTTACAATTTTCATAGATATTGAAAATTGAGCTTGCAAAGTCCAGTTGGGTTGTATCTTTTGATATGAAATGAATAGACTTTTAAAATATTTGTATCAGATTGTGGAAGAAAGTGATCTTCAAGTAAAGATATTAGATGCTTTTAAGTTTAATGTTTTTCTAAAGTAATGTTATAAGGTAACTAAATATAAGCTTTTGCTGAAGTAAATGTGAAGATTCATCTTTTCTATAACATATTGGAAATAATCTAATTTAAGGATGCATTGTAAATTGGTGCATGTAAAATGAAAAGGCCCAAAAGCAGAGTCCACTGTCAGGTACCATTAGGTAAAGGTTTTGATTCTACTTCTCTGTGATTCTCTGTTCTGCCTTGCATGCAGCAGACCTATACTCTCATGCATTTCAACATGATAGGAAAACTACCGGGCACATTTCCATGTTGCACTTTCCTTTCAAACTGTTCTCTGCAGTAGTTGTAACATGTAAGAAAACTTTCCTTCTAGATTTCGTGTTATCAAACTTGTTTACATTTAGTTTATGCTTTCAAATATTTGTATATAAATCTTTAATATAAACACATATGTTTAGTATATGCTCTCATGTATTAAAGGAAATGTGAGATTGTGTAACATATTTGTATTTAATGATTTGGGGGATGTATGCAGGTGTAATAGAGTCACTTGAAATGATTTCATATTTATTTTGCAGAGTTGTTCTATATAACTTAGAAGGAAGTTTTTTCTGTTACTTATACACCTTTCATTTTAAAGATTTTTTCCTAAAACTGTTGGTTACCAAAAGGTTTTGTCATGATTTCAAAGGTATCACATTCCTTAAACTCACAGCTTGTACTTCAGCAAGAAATAGCCTTATTCCTAGTTAAAGTTAAAAAACAATTTGTTTTTATAAGTTAGATTATTTTTGTTTCAGTGATTATAGAGTTTATAATCATTTTTAGCAGCAAAAGAAACTAAACGTACGTGCATAGTAATGCATATATGTTGGAATGCTAGCATATCCTTTAGATATTAAAATGAGATTGTTTAAGGGCATAGCTGACTGACAGTCTTA